GGGGGAAAGCAGGTAATTCAGTATTGTGTAGGCCAGACAGTGCAGAGAGGAAGGATACAAGTCCCCCACCCCAGCTTGTGACACTCAAACTGGAAGGGCTGCACCCATGGAAAATGAAACTTCTAAAACTCTCAATTTCTTCACTCTCCCTCCACTGTTGTCTACCTGTACACACATAAAGCAGAGGGTACCAAACGTTTTTTATGCTGCATAATGGTAAAAAAATGAGAACAATCAAACATTAGACACATTGCATTTTGTGCATAAGAAAATCTTAGCGAACTATTTTATTGCACTTCAGGTTGTTCAGGGTGTGTGTACATCTCAAAAAACAAGCCTGATAAAAGGTATTGCCGTTGTCCTCACCTTACTAAAGAGGGAAAAGATAAATGAAACTATCCGCATGAGAAATCTGTGGTAGATATAGAAACGAACCTCAATCTTTTAAGTTTTCAGCTAGAACTTTGAATTCTGGACACAAACTCCCCCTTTTTTCTCTCATTTCTTTTTAAAATTCCACCTCCCAAAGAACATATTATTCAGTCTGATACAGAAATACCATTTGTACCGAGATCCTTCTACAATAAAAATATTAGAAAGTCAAAGAATGATATCATTTTTATAGGTCTAACAGTTATTACAGCTTGCCAAATTACATGCATAACCTGAGTCATACTTCTACCTCTTCGGCTCTGTCTTGAACTCTGCTAAGCCTACACTCACTGACACTAAGCAAGGATTAAGCTAGAATTGATCCAGGTGGAAATACAGCAAAGACAGCTCATTATACTCCCCAAAATGAAAGAGGGGCTGAACATTTACCAAAAAATCCAACACCTTTCAATACCCCTCTCCTTGCATAACTGTGCAAAAAATGCTCTTCTTCTAGAGGACAGCTACAGTAAATGTTGTTGCAGCATCAACCCAACCAGACTCCAAAACCAGTCCGCAGGCAGCTGTAGAAACAAAGGAAGGAAATAAGAGTCTAGAAGCTGTATCTTGCTGAAATCTGCTTGCAGCTCTGAGCAAGGCTAAAAGACAAAGCCGTAGTAACGGGCACTAGAACAAAACAGTTCCAAGGGCAGTTTGTCCTGCAGATGTGGAAAGAAGGATAAAAAAAAAAAAGCTGAGCCTAGAAAAGTTGGATGGTGATGGGCCCAGGAATTTACCTTTGAGCACCAGGGATTTCAGGTGCTTCAGATGAGGAAGGATGCCTAGCGTGGTGCCAAGGAGTCGATCGTTGCTGCTGAGCCGGAGAAACTCCACCTGGACCACCTCACCCCGTTGCCTCTCGAACAGATGGAGGAACCGGCAGCAGCCGTCAGGATAAACGTCCAGGTTCAGCCTGTTGTCTGCGAGGCAGGAGCCAACGAGTGCAGGAGCCCCCGAAGCCCCCTCCCCGCACTCGTCCCCAAGCCCCAGCAGCTCTGCCATCTTCTGCGTCTCGTCCACGGGGTCTGGACATGCTCTGACTTGCCAGGCAGGCAGGCAGGCACCGGCAGCACCACAAGGCAGCCGGGACAAGGAGGAGGAGGAAAGATGGCTCTGAAAGAGAAGACAAGTGCACAATGAAGGCCTCCTGCCCCAACCCAGAGCGGCTGGAAATAGTTTATAATCACAGCAAGAGGGCAGGAGGGCTTACACGCGTGTTACTGAAAGCTTTTTGGGCAGGGAGCACAGAAATGCAGGGTGACGGATGCCACGGAAGTTTCTGGTCCTGGGGAAAACCTCTGAGTTTTCACAGCTGACATCTTGGCAGGGAATGAAGCAATTACCCACCATCAGAATAGACAGCAATATTAACTTTAAAAGATAAATGTAAATGCCTATGCCTTTTGCAGATTTCAAAGTGCTTTAGCAGGAAGCTTTACAAATGGAGGGGGAAACTGGGGCAGGGAGAGCTGAGCCAGAAGCAGAGCCCAGAGGCTGCTCACAGGCTGCAATAGGTCCTCATCGAACCCAGTTGTGAAACCAGGTGCCAACGGGATAAAAGCGAACATAGATGAAAACAGGCAAAGGGCAGCAGAGCAAACATGGCAGGGCCAGGGGATGGGTTAGAAAAAGCACATCTGTGGCACAGGAGCACTGGACCGCACAGTGGGACTACGGCTCTTGCAGATTTCCCTCCACAGGGATGCTCTAACGCAGCAAACCAGGCATGAAGCCACGGCCAGCTAGTTACCAGCTAGTCCTTGTTTCCCCCCCCCACAGCACCCTCCACGGCTAAAAAGAAAGGGGAAAAATAGATATCACATAATGCATGCTAAGAAGGATTTAAACCTAAAGGAGCAGAGGTATGAAATTTGAACAAATTAATTATTCCTCTGCCTTCTCAGTGTGAAGAAGCCTTCATCCACCTAAGACTTTCAAAATCAGCCACTGTCATCACAGCACACTGGTAGTGCAAAGAAGAGCAGGGGCGCCATGCTTGTTTTTATACCAGTAGTCACATACTTCCAAGCCTCCCATTCCCTGGTCTTTCCACTTTCTTTATCTTTTGCAACTCCTTTCTGAGCTTGGTAATTAAACTAGCTTATGGTGTGAATATCAGGAGCTCTTTTTAAACACTGACATGGATCAAATAGGCGAACAGAAGTTTCTTTTGAGTGAGTGATACAGAACTACAAAAGACTTGTAACATCTTTAGCGTCCAAGGCCAGCAGAAGCAAGCTAACACCCCTGCAACACCCTGAGGAGCAGTGCTTTTTACCATTAATCTGTGGGACATGGCAGCACTGATGTTCTCAAGGCACAGTCTGGGGGGAGGCATCACACCCCGCTCCCTGAAAGAGCAGAAATCTTACGGACAGATAAGGACAGGAAGAACAGGTAAATGGAAACGACTGCTTTAGTAAAAAGGTAAGTATTTCTTACAAAAAGGCTGTGTGCAGCACATACACAGCTCTCCTACAGATATGGGTGAGTAAAAAGACCACCTGCTAGAGCTTTGTAAAGCGATTGATGGTGAAGGAACCAGAGGGCAGCTCTGAACTGGCCAGGCTGGAGAGGCTCGGAGACAAAAAATACAGCTTCAGGACATGCATATAGGACACGGGCAGGCACCCTTGTGCACAGACACACAGGCACACACACGTGCACAGCTCCCCGCCCCCCCCCCCCGCCCCCCCCCCCCCGGCAGGGCCTACGGCCAAGCAGCCAGGCCACACACACTGTGCCCCGCTGAGCACGGACACGCTTCTCTCACCCCCTCCGCACCCGGTCCCCAGCACACAAACCCTGGGTCCTGAAAGCCCGGCCGTGCTCGGTTTGGCTGGGCTCAGCCCAGCACAGCTTGGCTCAGCTCAGGCACTTCCTGCAAAGTTTGCCGAGAGCTGCGCTGCTGGGCGGGACGAGCTGGAGGAGGTGCCAGATGCAGCGGGACGAGGGGCAGGCAGCTCTTGGGGAACCAGGCCCATGTGTCCTGCTGTCACAAAAAACGTCACAAACCGAGATTTTCCTAACACCGCCATGGCCTCGGCACCCCAGCCAGTCCTGGCATGGCTCCCCTGGGCTCAAACGCGAGCTCAGCCTGCAGGGAACGGGAGGCACGGGCAGCTCCTGGTGTTGTGCTCACACGCCACAAATTCAGGGAGAGGAATGTAGCAGGAGCGGGACTGCAAGCCCGGAAGGGCACAGGGCTGGGCCTTCGCTGCCCTGTGGGCTCCAGGCAGGCGCCAGCCTTCAGCTAGCACCGAGGGAGGCCGATTGGTCTAACACTGCATCCCGGCGAGGCCCCACGGCATTTGTGCTTGCTCTCCACCTCGCTCAAAGGGCGAAGCCGGGTTTTTCTGTCATGGTGAGTTTCTGGCTGGTGCCTCAATGCTGTGACATGTCCACGCTGCTGCGTTAATGCCCAGGGAGCAATGCCCCTTGCTAAAAGCCTACACAAGCTGTGCAGCGCCCCGAGGGAAATTTCCCTTCCCACGGGGAGGAAGCACTAACCCCTGGCTGCTTCTCTAGAGCACTTCCTCAGTTACAGAACTGGGAGCCTGGCTGTTTTCTGGCGGCACCAGAGTTACCAGAGCAGCAGAGGACTCTCACCCCTCAGAGGGTTTCCAGGGAGCCTCCAGGGCAATGAGGCAGCAATAGCCAAAGCCTCCTCGTGACCCTGCTGCTGCAGCGGTTCTGGCTTATTTCGGTCTGGTGGATTTTGGCACAACGTTAACTTTTCGCTTTTATTCACTTCCCTAATGCAGAAGAAATCAAGCGAACCAAGCACAGGTGCTAACTCCCATAATCCCATGGCGAGGCCTTGCCGCTGGGTCTCCAACTCCGGGCCTCCTGGCGCCAGACAGGCCGCCCGCCCCCTCCTGCAGAGAGCTCCTCCTTGGCAGAGGGGCCTGCGCTTCCCGGGAGGCCATGCCGACCCTGCCATAGAATCATAGAATCGTTTAGGTTGGAAAAGCCTTTTAAGATCATCGAGTCCAACTGTTAACCCAACCCTGCCATCCCACCACTAAACCCTGCCCCTAAACACCTCATCTGCCCTTCTTTTAAATACCTCCAGGGATGGCAACTCAACCACCTCCCTGGGCAGCCCATTCCAGAGCCTGACAGCCCTTTCTGGGAAGACATTTTTCCTAATGTCCAACCTAAACCTGCCCTGGTGCAACTTCAGACCATTCCCCCTCATCCCATCGCCCGTTCCCTGGGAGCAGAGCCCGACCCCCACCTCACTCCCCCCTCCTGTCAGGCAGCTGTAGAGGGCGATGAGGGCTCCCCGCAGCCTCCTCTCCTCCACGCTGGATACCCCC